CAGCCTCCACAACCTCTGCCAAAGTATTGTAGGAGGATGGCCTTGACCTCAACTTTTATATTTATTTAATGGTAAAGTTAAAGTGCTGTGCTCCAGATGTGATTTGATTGGTCCACTGCTAAGCTTTAATCAAAACACAATTTATTCTTACAACACAGTTGAATTACAAAAAAAAGGCATAACTTTACTCTATTGAAATACCTAATAAGATAATGTATTATTTAATCATTAATCATCAACTGCTCCAATATATGCAGCATCCCATAAACACAGCTTTTGGCAAAAAATGCAATTCAGCAAAACAGGTATGATTCCCATGTCCTGTCTTTCTCCAGGCCAGAAGAAAGAAACAATCTGCCTCTTTTGATTTTTAAGAGGAAGCCTCTCTGTCTAGGAGTTCACCCTAGCAGCTTGCAGCAGCCAGCAGAAACCTTCGACTAACTGAATGCAAAACTACCAGCCTTTCTGGGTCTGCGTGAGCCCTGACTCTGCCACTCATGATTCTGTCTCAAAAGAAAATATACCCAGGGAGAACTCCAAAGCAGTTCATCAACTGCCTGTCTGAAGGAGACACTTCAACACCTCTGTGACAATATTCCTCTTCAAGAAAAATAGACAGAACACATCTCTTAAGGGCACAGTATTGTCACTGTTTGGACACTTCCTGGTTTAGGCTCCATAAAGCTTATTTGACATACTCAATTTCACTGGTTTAGCAGACACACAATTAATTTTCCAGTCCACACAGGAATTCCCTAAGCAGGGTATAATATTATTTCCCTGCTCTACTTAAATGAAATTTCATTCAAAGTTTCATGAAAATTAAACAAGTAGAGGCAAGTCTTGTTAATTAATGAAAAGATGGAAAAGTAGAATTAAGCTTCTAAATAACCAGACTAGTTGGGGTCAGTTACATTTTTATTCAAGTAAAAAGAATGTTAAATAACAGGTAAGTTGAGGTATGTAGTTGTAATACTTGTTTTAAATGGGAAAAGTACATGTAGCATTACACTGAGAGTGTCCGATTAAGGGCTTGATCTCTCTGTGTTTATCAGGGTTACAAAATATTACCATTTTGGAAACTACACCAGAACACCTCAACACTTAGTGTGATGCAGTATTTATCAGGGCACAGTGGATTCCTTCCATCTCTCTCACTATGCTAACATTAAAAGCATTGATGAAACTTAAGTGACAAAAAAAAATTTCATTTCTATTAAATGTAGATTTACTGCTTCATGAAAGGAAACAAGATCTGTTATTTCAGATTGTTTAAGAGTAACTTGCAGCTTTTGGAAGTTCTGATTGTGTTACCAGCAAAATAATTGTTGAAGTAACCACTAATGACTAACCACCATGGGTAGATAATTTACATTAACTTCACTGTGGCTAACCACAGGCTTCCTGGTTTCACTCTTCATGCTATTGATTATAGGCCAGTTCACTCTAGGTGCAAGTATCTTTGCAATAATCTGATAGGTGTTCATGACTGTCAATCAACCTTTCTGGCATCGAATACTATGACCATTGTGGGGTTTCATTCATTTGGGTTGTGAACTGTTTTATGAGATCAAAAATATAATTTTAATGCTTTTATTTTCCCCTCACTTCCATTAGTTATTCCCCAAAACTTAAATTGCATTGGTTAATAAGATGAGATAATAAGGTGTAGAGCTGGATGAACACAGCAGGTCAAGCAGCATCAGAGGAGCAGGAAGGCTGACGTTTCAGGCCTAGACCCTTCTTCAGAAATTTCACCTGTTTTATGACATCATCCAAAGTCAAAATTAATTCCTTATTCTTTTAGCTCTAGGTCACTGATGTTTCAATCTAGCCCAACTGTTGAAATAAAAATTTCTCTACATGTTTGGCAGGTAACCTTATCACATTTGAAGGCCCGAAACATCAGCCTTCTTGCTCCTCTGATGCTGCTTGGCCTGCTGTGTTCATCCAGCTCTACACCTTGTTATCTCAGATTCTCCAGCATCTGCAGTTCCTACTATCTCATGGTTAATATGATGTCCTGTTCACTCTGTGGTCCCAGATGTTTAGCTTTTCTCTTGATTTTCAGTATCTGACATATTTATCTTTGGTTTACTTCCTTCTTTCCTACGTGATGCGACCTTCCAGTTCTCTGGCACAACTTCTATATTTAAAAATGTTTGAAACATTGTGGGAAGAGTTTCTGCCTTTTCTTCTCTGACTTCCTTAATTGTTTAAGATCAAAGTCAAAAGCATACAGCAAAAATACATTTCCCCATTTGTTTTCAAATTGCAATTAGTTACTTTTCCTTGGTTCTGTATAATTGTTCTGAAAATAACATTCATTGCATAGAAATGTGATAAGGTTACCTGCCAAACATGTAGAGAAATTTTTATTTCAACAGTTGGACGAGATTGAAACATCAGTGACCTAGAGCTAAAAGAATAAGAAATTAATTTTGACTTTTGATGATATCATAAAACAGGTGATACTGATTCAGCTGACCATTATATATTTCTATCGGGGCTCTGGTTATGCAATGGTAGTATTTCTACCTCCGAACCAGAAGTCCTGGTTTCAAATCTCACTTGCTACTGCATTGTATAGGTGAACAGGTAGATTAGAAAAGTATAGAAAATATACATTTCTCTTGAGAATGGTCTTGTGTCACAATAGTGATATCCCTACCTGTGAGCCAGGAGGTCTGGGTTCAAGTCCATCCCAGATGGGTGTCTGAACAGATTGATTAGAATAGATACATTTTACTTGAAGGTTAGGGCTCTTGTAGCACAGTGGTGTGGTCCCTACCTTTGGGTGAGAAGACCTGGGTTCATGTCCCACCTGTTCAGAGGCCTGTCGTAAGATGCAGGTTGATTAAAATATCTGTATTTCTCTTGACTTCCATTTAAGTTAATAGAAGTCAAAATTGCTTCATAGCATTCTAAACCTAATACATTTGCTCAGACTTTGCAGTCAGTGATTAAAACTTAATCTATGTTAAAGTGAGTTGTACTGGGAAATTAAGGGTTAAACTGGTTCTTAAAGTACTTGATTACTAGACTTGTTTCCTTTATTGTTCATGGGGTGTGGCCATTGTTGGCTAGGTCAGCATTTGTTGCCCATTCTTAATTACCTTTGAGAAGGCAATAGTGAGCTCCCTACATAAACTGCTCCTGTTCATGTGGTGCAGGTATACATGGTGCTGTCTTTAAAAAAACAGGTAGTTTATTGGTTAATTGTTCCTAATTGTGGGTCTTAATTTGTACTGTAATATTTACCAATAGTGGTGAAGCTTATTAGTAATTGAATTTATTAATTATAAAATAATTTTAAAAATAAGCAAATTAACATCAAAATGGCAGGGCAAGTGCAGTATGTGGGAGCTGGTGGACTGCACTGTAATCCAGGAAAACCACACCAGCAGTACATGTCTGACACTTGAAGAACTTTGGTTCAGAGCTATTGAGCTGGAGGCTGAAGTACAAATGTTTTGATGCATAAAGAAAAGGAAAAGTACTTGGACAGTTTGTCTCAGGAGGAGGTCTAATCCTTTGGTTGGAGTCATCTAATTTTATCCATGGTCAGGAACAGGAAGGTTTGATTGTGGGTGACACAGGTAATCAGGAAATGGAGGATCTTTAGCCATCGCAGCTGGTATAGACAAAGGTAAGTGGTGCAAGGTAGATGAGCGAACTGACCATGTGCAATGGACAGGAAGCTGTTCTTTTTAATTCATCCATGGGATGTAAGTGTCACTGGCTGGGTCAGCATTTATTGCTCATCTCTGGCTAGTTGCTCTGGCGAAGGTGGTGGTGAGCTGCCTTTCTTGAACTGCTGCAGTCCAATTGGTGCTGTTAGGGAAGGAGTTCCAGGATTTTTACCCAGTGTCACAAAGTATGGTGAAATATTTCCAATTCGGAATAGTGAGGACATAGACTTGGAGGACAACTTGCAGGTAGTGGTATTCCCATATATTTACTGTCCTTTCCTTCTAGATGGTAATGGTCATGGGTTTTCAAGGTGCTGTCTCAGTAGCTTTGGTGTATTTCGGCAGTGCATCTTGTAGATGGTATGTACTGCTGATACTGCACGTCTGTGATGGAGGGAGTGAATGGTTGTGGATATGGTGCCAATCAAACAGGCTGCTTTGTCCTGTGTGGTGTGAAGCCTCGAGTGTTTTTGGAGCTGCACTCATCCAGGAAAATGGAGAGTATTCCATCACACTCCTGACTTGTGCCATGAGATGTTGGACAGGCAATTCGGAAAATGTCCACTTGACTGATTTCTGCAATGAAGGCATTAGTTTATGGAGAAAGGTTGGACAGATGGGCCTGTATTCATTGGAGCTAGCAAAACTGAGAGTTGATTTTATTGAAATATGCAAAACTTAAAGGGTCTTGATAGGGCAGATGCTGGAAGAAGTTTCCAACTGGGGGGAGACAAGAACTCAGAGGCACTGTTCAAAAATAAGTGGTCATCCATTTAAACCAGAGATGAGAACATTTTTCTTGTCTCAGAGGGATGAAAGCCTGTGGAACTCTCTTCATTAGAGAGCAGGGGAAACAAGGCCTTTGAGTATTTTTAAGGGAGAGGTAGATAGATTCTTGACTAACAAGGGCATTAATGGGGATAGAAATAAGCCAGGAAAGTGAAGTTGAGGCAACAGTCAGATCAGCCATAATTTTATCAAATGGCGGAGCAGGCTTGAGGGACCAATTGGCCAATTCTCACTCCTACGTCATATATGTTTGACTCAGCGGCAATGAAGGAATGGCAGTATAATTCAAAGTCCAAATGTTGTGTAACTGGGGCACAAATCGCAGGTGGGGCTGGTGTTACCATGCTTTTGCTTCCTTTGTTTTGCTAGATGGTAGATGTCAAGGGTTGGAAACTGCTGTCAAAGGATCCTTGATGAGTTGGTGCAGTGCAGGTATCGATCACTTTGTGAGACCTTCAAAGTATTGAGAAACATCATGTGAAAATGTGATATTTATAAATCTATTTTCTTTTTCTGCAGACACAAATTTTGTGCTCGGGAATGCCCAGATAGTGGACTGGCCTATTGTATACAGTAATGATGGATTCTGCAAATTGTCTGGATACCATCGAGCAGAGGTTATGCAAAAGAGCAGTACTTGCAGGTATTAAAAGATGTGAAAGCATTTTTCTTTTATATTCAAAATAAAGTGTGTTCTAGGGCACCATATTATTCTGTATGCTGGAAAGGTTACAAATTTAAAGAATATTCATAGGAACTCAACACATTTTAATATTCACTCATAATTTATCAGTAACCAATAGCTGGTTTGAAAGAAGGCATGCATGTTCTTCACTTGTCAGGTTCTGATGATACCCAATAGTAATTTCCAGTGACTTTTAAAGTTCAAAATTGCTATTTAGCAAGATACCCTTAAAATAATTTTCTGTGTGGTTGTGTAACTAAAGTTTAAATTACTGTTACCTTCTTGCATTTGATAATAAGTGATTCATGTCATATTTTCAGATATGGATTAAAGGTATCAACCTTTTAATGAACTTAAACCTTGTTTTAAGCACATGGCTTTCAAAAACATTTCAAATGATTCATGTATAACTCACTGACATGATCACATTCATAGATGCAGGGAAGGGTCTCAAATCTGGCAGTACAGAAACTGGAATTATCTGAAAACCACAACTTTGTATCAATTTTAATTGAGGAAGATTAAAATAAAAAGCTTGTCTGGATAATTCAGCTAGGAAGTGCAATGGAATAATGCAGCTCCAGACTATTTATTGACCAAGTTGTTTTGTGCGTCGTTCTATTCTGCACTCCAAATGCTAGACCAAAAATCTGGCAAAATCCAAAATTCAGCATGTTCTCAGTGTAGAGATTGCTAGATTCACCTATAACTGATTTCTTCGTGCAGAGCAGTGTTCAAAAAATCACCTGAAATTATATTAAAACAATAATAAATTTTTTGTGAGCATCTTTTAATGATTTTGTTATAAAACCATATTTTAATCGTGAGTGCTGTGATATCAATTGCAAAACTGATGAATATTTTCTACAGAGGTGAACTGATATAAATATGTATTTCCTATTTGGCAATAATTTGTACATGTGGTAGACTAATCCTGCCAGTGTCCAGATTCAGCTAAATTTATACAAAGCCAGTGAGGGGCTGACATCAAAACTACTGTTCACGCAGAATAGTAGAAGCAGAGGATATGGTAAGCCCTTTAAGGGAGTAAAGTCAAAAATCAATCTGTGGAAACTTTGGGTAGAATCTTGTAGGGGTCTGAGCAACGTGGGCTTTGGGAAAATATGTTGCAGAATCAGGCACATCTCAATGTTAAGATCATTTCGCTCCATCTTTAATGCTTTTCACAAACAGCATGGCACAACTTTTTGCTAGGCAGCAGTGAGCTCACCATAGCTTGCCTAGTTAATATTCACATTCCCATTTTACCAAACTCAACAAGGAAACCAGAGTGAACACCTGGCAGATTCAGGTCAGTGTTTGCTCTGAACCACCTCCATGTTGTCTGCAACCAAACACACCTCAAGATAAGATACATGGGCACCAGCCACATTCACTCCTCCTCTGTGAACATTGACATTGACTTCCACCAGTGCACCATGACCACTTCAACTATGCACTGGCAGAGTGGTCTGGGGGCACAGACCTGCATTGCAGGATGCACCAGCCGTTTGTGTTCAATGGCTGCAACAGGGACACTTAGTACACAGGGACGTGCACCCAGCTCTCTCACTGGGCCGGGGTGTTTATTTGCTCCATTATTAGTGTTTGTTCACTTAGCATCCACCTGCACAAGGTGCTCTCCTGCCTGGGCCTCAGCAGGTAGCTGTTCTCTGGCAGTACTCAGAGTGTCTGCTGTCTGGTCCATTTCTTTCTCAGCCAGGAGCTGTCACAGTGAGATGCTCACCAAATTGTCACAATAGAGTATGCAATTTCCACCAAGGTGGCACAGCTGAATCAGGTGGAGGAGTGGTGGTAAAATGTAGTGAAGGACTGGGGAGATAGCACAGATGTAATTTAAGGTTAGTTGTCTGAGACACTGAAGAGGAGAGCAAGTGAGAAGATGATGTGAGCATTAGTGGGACATGAGACTTGCTGGGAGATGTGTGCAGTAGCAAAGAGAGAGTGTGAGTGTGAGATGGCAGAGAGCAGTCTGGTACTTAACCTGGTAGAGGGGAGAAGATCACTGACCTATCAGTCGCACTGCTGGGCATTCGTCTGCATTATGGAGATGGTACTGAGCCAGGTGGTGACTTCAGACCTACATTTGGGTCCTCCCAGATACCTTTTGGTAAGGCTGTCATTCTTTAAGCATGGCATACTTTCCTCAAGCCATTTGCTTTCGTCTGGTAGCTGTGGCTTTGTTGACAGTGAATTTTTGCCTCTGAGTTAGAAGGTTGTGGATTCAAAGCTGACTGCAGAACTTGAGCGCATAGATTAAGGCTGACACTCCAGTGCAACATAGAGGGAGTGCTGTTCTGTTGGAGTTGTTGTCCCTTGGATGAAACTTTAAACCAGCACCCCATTGGCTTCCCTGATGGATGCAAAATATTCCACGGCACTATTCTGAAGAAGAGTAGGTAGGCAATGCAGAGAGTACTGACTAATTGCAGTTATTGAAGCTTGCTCTCTGCGAATTGGCTGCTGTTTCGGACATCACAGTAGACTTAAAAATTGGCTTTTGGACATATGGTAGTTGTGAAAGATATTATAGATTTTCTTTTATTCTAAGCATCACTTGACCTATTCTATATGCCATAATGCTGACAAAGAAAATCATAGTACCAAACAGAGAAAGCTGCGGTGTACCAACTACCACACAATTATGGATTAAGAAAGGCTCACCAACTGTTTTTACCTTTATTTTCACATAGTTTTAAGGTTTATTTGGCCTTCAATTGCCCCAGTTGGATTTTTAACTAAAAGGAACCTTTACATTCTTTCTCATTCCTGTGCTACATTAATGATGTCATGTTCTGCTGTTGCCAAATAGATCAGCATTTTTGTGACAAGTGTTTCCTTTCAGATTTAGTTGCTGTGAATGTCTTATTTTCATAGTATATGATCCTTTTAATGATTTTCTGCTGCTGCGCATGTATGTTATTATTCTGGAACATGGACTGTGTGCGATACCTTTCAGCCAGTTGCATGGCTGTACACCTGTGCAGCTTAACAAAAAACATTTCCTGTCATCTTTTTATCAGTGTATTTCCAGGTGGCACTGGAGCATTGCTGGTTCAGCAGTAGAGTTCCTGCCTGCCACATGGGAGATCCTGACTCAATTCCTGTTTGACACATTAAAGTGATTCAAAGAACTATTTACTGAAGACATTAAAAAAGATTTTGCCTAGGGCCATGTGAGTTTGAAATGGTTGAAGTCATCTAATCCCAGAAGATCAGCAGATTCAGGTTTTATTAGTGCTTTGATGGGAGAGTACCTGGAAATACCTGGTGCAATAAACATTGCAATATGAGAGCTAACATAGCTGAGCAGGCCTGGCAGCATCTGTGAAGAAAAAATCAGAGTTAACATTTCGGGTCACGGTCGGGTCCAGTGACCCTTCCTCAGAACAGTTCTGAGGCAGAGTCACCGGATGCAAGTTAACTCTGATTTTTTCTTCACAGATGCTGCCAGACCTGCTGAGCTTTTCCAGCAACTTCTGTTTTTGTTTCTGATTTACAGCATCCACAGTTCTTTCAGTTTTTATGAGAGCTAACTTGCCAAGCTGGATGCTGATCATCACTCAAATATAATCTGTGAATCCAAAAATCACCAGAAGATTTAATTGAATACAAAAATGTCCTCATTAATTGGCCACATCACTGGAGACCAGACATTTATTGAAAATGTCCCTCAGACCCCATGACAGTCTAGACGAGTGGACGTATGCGGGAACCGTCCGAGACATTGCATCTCCCACTGAGCAATTTTACTGCTCCCTGAACCCTACATGAATGTCTGGAGTTAACCTCAAGGTGTTGTAGAGTTTTGTGGTAGTTATCCAGTAAATAATAGGCAAATTAACACTTGGTAACTCCGTACTCCCTCCCTAATTGTTGTGTTATGTCTCACAGTCAGTACGTAATACGAAATAGTAGCAGAGTAGGCCATTTAGTCTAGCTAGTCTGCACCACCATTAATGAGATCATGACTAACCTGATAATCCTCAGTTCCACTTTCCTATCTTTACCCCATAGCCCTTGCTTCAATTACTGATTAAAAATCTGTCTATCATAGCCTTGAATATACACAATGACTCTGTCTCAGAAGTAAAGAATTCCACTGATTCACTACCCTGTGTGAGAAGAAATGCCTCCTCAGCTCTGTCTCAAATATCTGAACCCTTATTCTGAGATTATGCCATCTAGTCATAGACTGTCTCACAAGGGGAAACAACTCTACACTGTCTAGTCCCCCTAGATCTTACATCTTTCAATAACGTCGCTTTCCATTTTTCTATATTCCAATGAGTACAGGTCCAATCTACTTACCCCTCCTCATAAAACAGTCCCTCTATACTGGATATCAGTCTCTTAATTCTTCGCTTGACTGTCCCCAGTGACAGTATATCTTTTCTTAGATAAGGGGACGAGAATTACTCTCTGTATTCCAGCTGTGGTCTGACTAGTGCCTCACGTAATTTTAGAGAAATCTCCCTACTTTTATACTCCATTCCTTTTGAAATAAAGGCCAGCATTCCATTTGCTTTTGTGCAGTCTTTTGCCATTTGAATAATATTGTGTTCTTCCTGTCCAAAGTGCATAACCTCACATTTTCCCACATTATATTCTATTTTCCAAGTTTTTGCCTACCCGCTTAATGTGTCAATATCCTTCTGTAGACTCTGTCATCCTCATTGCTTGCCTTCCCATCTATTTTTGGGTCAGCTGCAAGCTTGGTTTTAGTACATTCACTTTCATTATCCATGTCATTAATATATATTGTGAATAATTGTGGCCCCAGCACTGATCCCTTTGACACTCCAACAGTTACAGTTTGTTGTCCTGAAAATGCACCTCTTATGCCAACTTTCTGTCCCCTATTATTTAGCCAATCCACTATCCATGCTAATATGCTATCTGCAACACCAAAGGCTCTTACTTACTTAAGTAGCCTA